ACTCGTATGTATGTATGTATGTATGTATGTATGTATGTATTCCTATCCCCTATCCCACCGTATGTATGTATGTATGTATGTATGTATGTATGTATTTTCATCCCACGTTGCGCCGTATGTATGTATGTATGTATGTATGTATGTATGTATTTAAGCCCCATCCCGCACCGTATGTATGTATGTATGTATGTATGTATGTATGTATGGGATCGACATTTAGAGGTGTATGTATGTATGTATGTATGTATGTATGTATGTATCAGTTGATTTCCTTTCATTGTATGTATGTATGTATGTATGTATGTATGTATGTATGGAGGTGTTGGGACTTYAAGTATGTATGTATGTATGTATGTATGTATGTATGTATAGTAGGTGAACTTTTACTTGTATGTATGTATGTATGTATGTATGTATGTATGTATTTGTGGGAGATTRTTTMCGGTATGTATGTATGTATGTATGTATGTATGTATGTATTACGGCGAACGCAGTTGTCGTATGTATGTATGTATGTATGTATGTATGTATGTATTTCTCTGCGGTCATGTTCAGTATGTATGTATGTATGTATGTATGTATGTATGTATGGAATACTAGCGCATAGAGGTATGTATGTATGTATGTATGTATGTATGTATGTATGTCTAGATGATGTTAAAGAGTATGTATGTATGTATGTATGTATGTATGTATGTATTTTCGTGAAGAAAACTGCAGTATGTATGTATGTATGTATGTATGTATGTATGTATCCTTTTAAACTTAAGCTTGGTATGTATGTATGTATGTATGTATGTATGTATGTATGAGGCCTTCCAAGGGGTTTGTATGTATGTATGTATGTATGTATGTATGTATGTATATCTCTTTCGGATTCACCGGTATGTATGTATGTATGTATGTATGTATGTATGTATTTGCGACTGCGACAACCCAGTATGTATGTATGTATGTATGTATGTATGTATGTATCTTTATTCGACAGCGACGTGTATGTATGTATGTATGTATGTATGTATGTATGTATAATAAACCATTACAGAGTCGTATGTATGTATGTATGTATGTATGTATGTATGTATCGCAGTCTCTTGATTCCTGGTATGTATGTATGTATGTATGTATGTATGTATGTATGGCCCGTCACGCTTTTTCCGTATGTATGTATGTATGTATGTATGTATGTATGTATTTTCGTTCATAGGTGTTAGGTATGTATGTATGTATGTATGTATGTATGTATGTATGTTTTCATGGGAAAACGTAGTATGTATGTATGTATGTATGTATGTATGTATGTATAAAGGACAAAAAGAGCCACGTATGTATGTATGTATGTATGTATGTATGTATGTATAAAAATTTGAGGGGTCATAGTATGTATGTATGTATGTATGTATGTATGTATGTATAAGCATGGCGCTTTAAATAGTATGTATGTATGTATGTATGTATGTATGTATGTATAAGGATCATTGAGGTGAGTGTATGTATGTATGTATGTATGTATGTATGTATGTATAATATTTGCGGTCGAATGTGTATGTATGTATGTATGTATGTATGTATGTATGTATCAGGATTCCTCGTCAAATAGTATGTATGTATGTATGTATGTATGTATGTATGTATCTTGAACAACGATCCGCGCGTATGTATGTATGTATGTATGTATGTATGTATGTATCAAATAATCAATCCACTATGTATGTATGTATGTATGTATGTATGTATGTATGTATATGATCAATTCATTAATGTGTATGTATGTATGTATGTATGTATGTATGTATGTATAAGAGTTTACCTGAACATCGTATGTATGTATGTATGTATGTATGTATGTATGTATAATTTATTCACGATAACTAGTATGTATGTATGTATGTATGTATGTATGTATGTATAAATGCTCTTAAGAGGCTGGTATGTATGTATGTATGTATGTATGTATGTATGTATCACCGATTTCCCTAATTTTGTATGTATGTATGTATGTATGTATGTATGTATGTATTATTGCGTTTATTTTGAATGTATGTATGTATGTATGTATGTATGTATGTATGTATAGGTGACCTCAAAGGCACCGTATGTATGTATGTATGTATGTATGTATGTATGTATAAGTCGATCGCTGCTGAAGGTATGTATGTATGTATGNCTAGATGATGTTAAAGATCTGTATTTTCCTTTATTGGTGATCGATATTAAATTTTTCGTGAAGAAAACTGCAAAGTAAACCTCTTTGAAATAAGATTGACCTAAAACGCCTTTTAAACTTAAGCTTGTCAGACATATTCTACGCAAGCATTAATGGAATTACTGAGGCCTTCCAAGGGGTTTTGGCGACAGGTGATATTGCTAAAAAATGTGGCGACAATCTCTTTCGGATTCACCGACAGCCGACAAAAACTGACAGAAAAAGGGCGACAATTTGCGACAGCGACAACCCATTTTTATTTTCGACAAAGCGACATCTTTTCGCTTTGCTTTATTCGACAGCGACGTTGTTACCAGGCAGCGTGATTCCATTGAGACCACGCCAATAAACCATTACAGAGTCAAAAAAAATGTCATAAATCATTATTCAACTGTAGTCACGCAGTCAGTCTCTTGATTCCTGTTGTTATGTCATGGTACAAAGGTCGGCTCGTGTGTTGGCCCTTCACGCTTTTTCCGTTTTCATGTGCCACATGCGCGAAAGTTCATCCATCTTTCGTTCATAGGTGTTAGGTCGGGCGACATTCTCGGGTCGACAGATCATTTCAAGTTTTCATGGGAAAACGTAAGAAGAAATCGCACAGTACTGCGAAGAAGAATAAAAAAAGGACAAAAAGAGCCACAAAAGGAAAGAGAAGAAAGGTAAGCTGGTTTTAAGTAAAGAATTGAGGGGTCATAATTGATCACAGTTGCAGTTAATTACCATCAATTTACCAGCATGGCGTTTTAAATAACTTGATGACCTTTATTCTAGCACGGTCGTGGCATTAAGGATCATTGAGGTGAGTCTACGGGCGAAGCCATCGCAAGACTTTTTTTATTTCATAAATATTTGTGGTCGAATGTTTTCGCAGTGTTTTTACAGTACACTTTGTTTTATTTCAGGATTCCTCGTCAAATCAGAACAATCTTATTGGACTTCAGAAATGGACTTCTGATTTGAACAACGACCCGCGCCTTTCCAAAACGGATACGGCTATCGGGTTCAATATTCAAATAATCAATTCATAATTGCATTCTTGAAACGACTGGCGGGTTCAATATCCAAATAATAAATTCATTAATGTAATCTTGAGGGGTACGCTTCACTTAATTTGACTGTAATTGTAAAACAGTTTTAAATAACATTTATCAAAACTAAACGATCGACAGTACGTTTATCAACTAAAACACTTCCAAGAATTGTGTTCCTGTATGACTGTGTAAATGGAAGCACGAGACTGAGGAGAGAGGTACGAAAGCTTGGCTACCGATCGACAATGAAACGCGAATAAGAAGTCCTGAAGCGTGATTTTAATCAAGGTAAACCAAGTATGGGTGCATGAGTCTTTATCACGATCTCTGTGACTATTATTAGAAACGCAAAGTTATACGTACACTTGTGGTTGATCTTCGCCTACGAGCACTAACAATAGTAAATTATACAAGTTACGGATTGTATCCCATAAATTTAGTAAGACAGTTACAATTGTATTATAGCAAACAAGCGACAGCGACATTTTTCCCTTACCAAACAAGCGACGGGTGACAGAGCGACAACAAAAACCCCCTTGGAAGGCCTCATTACTTGAAATGAAAGTGTGTTTCTCCATAGTGCCTTCCAGAGAAAAATAACGAGCTCAAAAAAGCACTTTTTACCCCTTGATATCGTAACAAACACAGCAAAAAGAGAAAAAAGAAGGTGTAGTGTACTCTCCGCGAATGAATTCAGTTCGTGTAGCGACGCAAAGTAGTGACTCTGAAAAAACTAATTTGGGCATTGAAGCAAATCAATAATTAACAGAAAACTGCGTGCCCGCCCTCGTGAAGTTGTTACAAATAGTAGGAGTAGACAGTGCGTGTAGTGATGTTTATAATGTTTTGCGATCTCAACATCGAAAGCAAAGAAAAAAGAAAAACCAAAGACAAAATCGTGATTATTATCAAGCGAATCGCGAACATGTTTTGGCCAGGCAAACGTCGAGGAGGGGAAATGGTTGCAGAACCGCATGAAAAAGTGTCAGATACAAATCGACGCTAAAGGATGGCCAGGGAGAAATATGCGACTTTAATATAGGTGCAGGAATACTCGTGCTTACAAACAAGGAGATATCGCAAGGTCTCCCACTGTGAAAGTCTTTGGGAAATCAAATGACAATCATTTCTGTCATTCCGCAGCTTAAAGTTTCTCGTCTGTTCCTTGACTTTGGGTCTTCCATGCAGAGGAAAGCGAGAAGCCAACGAGAAAAATTTCTCTACGATTACGAGAAAAAACTAGAATAACTACTCGGAATAAGCCACTGATAATTGTAGAAGCCCACTGCGACAACTTAAGATCTCTATACATAGTTAAGTCGCTTGGATGCACTTGGATGATATACCACACTGGAAATTTCATGAATTTAGATGGCATAGAAAGTGGCGGACTAGGCGTACAATGTCTTGTGGTAGAGTAGGATCCTTTAACAGCTTTTGCGACCTTAATTCTTGCCCGAGGATTCATCCTTCAGTTCCAAAACACTGCATAATTTTTTTTTATTTTTCTGCTTCAGACATGATATGAATGTCGTCGCGAATTAAACCCAAACTGTATCTTTCTTTCTTCTACAAGATTAAATGTTTTATAATAATCCTTG